ATTTGCCAGTATTTTATTGAGTATCTTTGCATCAGTGTTCCTGAGGGAAATTGGTCTGAAGTTTTCTTTGTTAGTTGTGTCTTGTGTGTCTCGGGTATCAATGATATTGAATCCTCGTAAAAAAGAATTTGGCAAATACCCTTCTGCTTATATTGCATGGAATACTTTGAGGAGAATTGGTGTGAGCTGTTCTTTGAATTTCTGGTAAAATTGTGCACTGAAGCCATCTGGCCCTGGGATTTTTTTTAGTTGGGAGACTTTTGATGACTGCTTCTATTTCCTTAGGTGTTATAGGTCTATTTATATTGATTATCTGTTCTTGATTTAATTTTGAACTTTCCTCTTAGCACTGCATTCAACGTGTCCCATAAGTTTGGGTATGTTGTGTCTTAATTCACATTGAATTCTAGGAAGTCTTTAATATCTCTTTTTATTTCTTCTTTGACCCAGGCATGATGCAATAGCGTATTATGAAATTTCCATGAGTTTGTAAGGTTCCTGCAGTTTGTGTTGTTGTTGAACTCTAACCTTAAAGCATGGTGGTCTGATAAGATACATGGAGTAATTCCAACTTTTTTGTACCTGTTGAGGATTGCTATGTTGCTAGTTATGTGGTCAATCTTTGAGAAGGTTCCATGTGGCACTGAGAAGAAGGTATATTCTTTTGTGTTTGGATGGAATGTTCTATATATGTCTGTCAAACCCAATTAGGTCATAACCTCTATTAGTTCCTTTGTTTCATTGTTAAGTTTCTGTCTTGTAGTCCTGTCTAGTGGTGACAGTGTGGGGTTGAATTCTTCCACTATTAGTGTGTGAGGTTTAAATGTGGTTTGAGTTTTAGTAATGTTTCTTTTACGAATATGAATGACTTTGCATTTGGGGTATAGATGTTCAGAATCGGTACTTCTTGGTAGATTTTTCCTGTGATGAATATGAAAATGATCTCCTTCATCTCTTTTGATTGATTTCAATTTAAAGTCTAGTTTGTTAGATATTAGGATTCCTACCTCTACTCGTTTCTTGGAGCCATTTGATTGGAAAATCTTTTCCCAACCCTTAACTCTGAGGTAATGTCTGTCTTTGAGGCTGAGGTGTGTTTCTTGTATGCAGCAGAAGGATGGGTTCTGTCTTCGAATCCATTCTATCAGCCTGTATCTTTTTATAGGCGAATTAACACCATTAATATTGAGGGATATTAGTGACCTTTGATTGCTGGTTTTCGTTTGTTTTGGAATGGTTGTTCTTGGTGGAACTGTATGTGGATTTCCACCACTTTTCTCTTTTGGGTATTGTTAAAGTGGGATTATCTATTTCCTATGATTTTCTGGTTCTAGTTAATGCCTTTGGACTGGAGTTTTCCTCCAAGACCTTTGTGTAGGGCTGAGTTAGTGGATACTTATTGTTTAAATCTGTTTTGTTTTCATGGAATATCTTGTTTGTTTTCTCCATCCATAGTGATTGAAAGCTTTGCTGGGTGTATTAGTGTGGGCTGGCATCGATGGTCTCTTAGTGTTGATAGAATATCTATCTAGGACCTTCTGGCTTTCAGAGTTTCCATGGAGAAGTCAGGTGTAATTCTTATAGGTTTGCCTTTATATTTTATTTGACCTTATCCTTAGCTGCTCTAAGGATTCTTTCTTTATTTTGTATACTTAGGGTCTTGATTATTTTGTGGCAAGGGGACTTTTTTTGTGATCCACTCTACTTGGTGTTTTATAAGCTTCTTGTACCTTCATTGGCATGTCTTTCTTTAGGTTGGGAAAATTTTCTTCTATGGTTTTGTTGAATATATTTTCTGTCCCTTTGAGTTGGGTTTCTTCACCTTCTTCTATACCTATTATTCATAGGTTTTTTTCTTTTCACGGTGTCCCTTATTTTCTGGATATTTTGTGTTAGGAATTTGTTGGACTTCAGATTTTCTTTGATTGATGAATCTATTTTTCCTAGTGTGTCTTCAACTTCTGAGATTCTCTCTTCTATCCCTTGTATTCTGTTGGTTATGCTTGCGTCTGTAGTACCTGTCAGTTTCCCCAGTTTTTCGATTTCCAGCATTCCTTCAGACTGTGTTTTTTTTTTCTCCATGCCAGCTTTCAATCCTTAGATTGTTTGAATTGTTTCTTGTAATTTTTGCTTTGTGTTTTCCTCCATTTCTTCCATTTTTTTCTGGAATTTTTTATTTGTTTTTTTCTTCTATCTCTTGCATTTTTTGGTTTGATTTTTCTACCATTTCTTTAAGAGATTTTTCTCACATCCTCTTTGAGGGCCTCTATCATTTTCAAGAAGTTGTTTTTAGGGTTATTCCCTTCTGCTTTGACTGCATTGGGGTGTTCAAGTCTTACTGCTATAGAATCTCTAGACTCTAGTGGTGGCATATTTGTATTTCTGTTGCTGGTGTGTTCTTATATTTCCTTTTCTTCATCAACTCTTCCAGTGGGTGTAGACTCTCTTCCTTTCCTGGTGGGTAGGCGGCCGGGGTTCCCTTTTGGTGGGTGCAAGCAAATCCAATAGTCTCTGCCCTTTGCTCTATGCCCTCTGCCCTGGGTTTGGGTGGAAGTGGAGCAGCTCTCTGCAGGCTCCTGGTCACTAGGTCATCCTTCTGGGGGGAGTCAACCTGGCTGCTGTCCCCAAGCCAGGGGATCCGAGAGAGAGTAAGTGGGAGGAAATTGGTTCTAAGATGGGGACCTGATACTCACCTCTGACCTCTGCACTGAATGTGGGCAGAAGACTTTTTTTTAAATTCTTGGACGTGGTTGTGACTGACAGGAAACTTGCTTTGTATGTCCATAACTCTGATATTATTTACATACCAGTGTCTGCTGTGCTCCACTAGTTTTAACCCTGTTCAGTCCACCAGTCAACTTTGCACTGTTGGAAACTTTTGGACATGGTTGTTCTGTCTTCATCATTCCTACTCCTCTATTTCTTGTTTTCCTGTACCCTCTTTTGTCCTTCTATGCTTATAGCTCAGATTTGCAATGTAGTTAGTACTATAGACTGGAAGGTAAAGTTAATATAGACAGAATTACCACAGAAATGAATATATCACAACTGTGAAGTCATAAAAATGGAATCAATCATAAAAACACAATTTTAAAAATTAATTTGTAACTTTTAAATGCAAATTTTATTATCCATAATTATCACTCAATGTTTGAAGCTATTTAGTTTATGTCATATTATCTTTTCATACTGTTTACATATTATATATTTCACTTGCGAGGCAAATTTTATATGCATGCAATCACACACAATTAGAAATTTTGAGATAAAGTTCACTTGTGTTAAGTCCCTCATTTCTGATACTTAAACAACTATTTTAGCTTCAAAACTTTCATGCAGTCAGCACAAAATAAAAAAATATTATTTGTGTATTAATAAAATTAATTTGTTGATAATTACTTTTTGATACTGTGTTTTATTTCCCTCACTTGAACATGAGATGAACACAGAACTTTTTATTTTACAATTTTTTAGTAATGTCATATTTGAATTCGATGTATGATTTTTTAAATATTATTTATAAATATTTTGAATGTCAGCATACATTTAAAACCTTGGGTGGTAATTTCAAAAATACTTAAAATACGTTTTCGTTTGTTATAAACATGAAACCACTCACCTCCATAGTCCTAAAATAAAATTATCTAATCTACTACTGGACATTCAGATTTAAATATTTAATAATGTATTTGGTTTTATGTAATCACTGAGTAATTATTGAGACCATTAGAAGGAAACATCTCAATATATTCTTTTTATATTATGAATATCAATTTAGTGGCAGCGATAACTATTCTTGAGAAATGTTATCCAACTTCATCTGTCATGAACGACATTATTTCGGTCTTTTAATATGACTTCTAAATTATCCTCTTCCTTCTACTTGATCTAATACACTACCTTAACAGTAATGATAGTAATACATTTTGTGATTATGGATAATGATAAATGAAATGAATGAATTCTGTGGCATAAGAAAGAAATTGGAGGAAAATTAGCAGGTTGTATTTTTGCTTATTTTGAAACACAAAGGCAATTTTATTAGAGCTTGAAAGAAATACTCCAAGGCGGGAAACCTGTAAATCTGAGAATCTGCAGAGAAGAAGCTATGGAATAGCAAAACAGAAAAAACCCATGCCTCAGAGTTCTGTGTGGAGTTGTGCAAACAGCTACATGACAAAAGGGAGGGAAAAAAAGTTCAAAGTACCATAGACAGTATATTAAATACACTTAGGCTCTGTCTAGTAACAAAAAGAAAAAGAGAGAAAGGAAGAAAAATGAAGTCATGTGTCCTGAAGCCAAAAAGGTAGCGAGATGGGACAGAGTCCTGGCAGTCCTGTAGTTACTGTGCCACATACTGGGGTTCTGGGAAGGAACCTATATTATCTCATTAATGGGATAATTATTCCTTTCATCTCTTTCTTAAGGCATTAGGTGAATCTGCCTTCCATAGGGTACTCTCTAAACCATGTGGCCTAACTGAATTATCTTCTGTATAATATTAGATCTCTACTCAGGCCAGAGGTAGATTTCATTCATTTGATCAAAAGGAAGAAGCTTTCCCTTGATGGGCCTCCAATTGTTACTGTAATATTTCTCCCTCTGAAGAGGTAACCTTAAACTCATTTGCCATGGTAGGCTAAACTTGGATGAGAAGGGTAACCCATTTCAGCAATGAAAACCTAGATATTCAATACCAAAGCTATTAGGAGAAGGGATTAATGTCTAGATTGTTCTGTTTATTCCTTTTAATGCTGAAGAAAGTATCTGTGCTTTATTGAAATGAGCCTCTCTTCCAGCCCTCTCCCATGTACCAACTTTTCCCAATATTTAATTAATTTAGAAAGATAAGTAGATAGGAATGAGTCCCTTTAGATTAATCCCTATGCTTTTACATGTAAAGATATTAAGCAAATAAACGAACCTGAGAATTTATGTTTTGTTAAACAAACAGCTCAGAAATGAAGAGTTTTTCTTCTCCTGTGTTGTAATGTTCCTAGATATTCGTGGGATACAGGAATTTTTGGACAAAGTATCCCAGCAGGGAATGGATGTTGCCCTTCAAAAGGTAGAAAACAACATCAACAAGATGATCACCACCCTCTTTGACACCATGAGGATAGAGGAGTTGAATCGCTACAGAGACACCCTTAGGAGAGCCATCCTTGTTATGAATCCTGCCACTGCCAAATCCTTCATAAGTGAGGTAAGTACATACTGTCTTGGGTGGGGTATGGTACACAAGCAAGTGCTTTGGAGTGAACCCCACAGAGGATGTGAAAACTACAGGAAGAGAGAGAGAGGACTGCACAGCTCTCATTAGCACTAATGGAGGAGGCAGAGTGAGTTGTTTGCTCAACTCATTTACCCCATATTGCCCATCTAATTACTAGGAATGTCTGTACTTTTATATTTAGGCACATGGCCAGGACAAGTTTCAGAACTCTTACAGGTTTTCAAAGTGCTGTTGACTTGAATGAATCAAGCAAATTCAGAAATGCATCCACAAGTATGTAGCTAATCATTTTGGGTTGTTTCTGTTTTTACTGCAAGTTAATATTGTATTCCTGAGAAAAGATCTACTAGAATCAGACTCTGATTGCCAAAGCAAAATTATTCCACAAAACACACCACTTTTGCTCTGGGAATCTATACCAAGATGAACAATTAAGACTCTTTTAAACTCTGCAAAGTGATGTCCACACAGTATAATGTGATGCCGTGTCTGTAAATGTTAGTTGTATTTGCGAATGTGGCTAGATGCAATAAAATTTATTAAAAGTACCAGTGAGATTGCAGTGATTCAAATGACCTTTGTGTACACAAAAATGTTTGTGATTGACATGCAAAGATCCTTGCCATGTTTAAACGTTAGTTAAGATTTTAATTACATTTAATGATAGAACTGTTGATTTCATTACATATTTTCACATACTGTTTTTAGCTTTGTGGGATTTAATTGGTGAATTTTCTCCTTCATTTTCTTAGTTTTTTGGTTTTTACGAGACAGGGTTTCTCTGTATTGTTTTGGAGGCTGTTGGTCCACATTTTCTTAGCTTTATTCCATTAACTCTTTAAGCTCATGCGTCCTTTGCTAGTATATAATTTGGTGCCTATTAAGGATTTTGAAACAGAATACAAATCATTCAATACCGGAACTCTTATACCAATTGAATTTTAACATAGATTTGCTATGTGAATCTGAAAGCAAGAGAGAACTTTGACCTTGGGCTTAGCAAATAAGGCATAGACACTGAAGATTAGACTTTTCTGTAACAGAAAACAAATACTCTATTTTATAGTCCACCCTTTGCTTCATATGTTATTCACCTTTTCCATCTGTGACAAAATGTGTGAGAAAAAAAATCTTAGAGCATGAATGTTTTGTTGGTCTCCTGGTTCCAGAGGTGTCAGCCCATGAGGTGTAGGCCTGAGGGAAGTTGACCATCACGGTGGGTAACAAGTGGCCAAGGAAATCTCATCTCATGATGGGAAGCAGGAAGGCCCAGAAATAGGCTTGGGGTAAGGTATATTCTCTAAGAAGATGCCCCTCTGTGACCTTCAAACTGTATAAGAAAATCTGTCAACAGATTGTTACACCAAAATATATTAAAGGTTAACATCAAACATTTCCTCCCGTTAGGCCCCATCTTGAAAATCTTCTTCCACTCGCAAGAATGCCACGAGGAGGGAGAGGGAGCTAGGATCCACATGTGAAGCAAGCTTGTTTCTAATTTAAATTAAAAAAATGCTTCTGAAATAAAAAGAAGAAGTTTCTATCTCACTATTAATCCAATGATGAAGTAGAGCCCACACTGCCTGGTCATTCCCCACCTGAACATTGCATTTAGGACTAAGAATTTGGTAAAGTATTTGATAAAGAGACACTTTACATGGAAACTGCAGCATTTCAAATGTGTAAAGTCTTCTAGAAAATGGAATAATGAATAACAAAGTTGAAATAGCTCTGGTACTTCTATCTGAGATGATCAGAGATTTTATTAACAAGGCATTCTTGATTTGGACTTTATAATATGGGTATGAATTCCCAGGAAGAAATCCTAGGACAGATATTTTAAGTTTATCTGAGTTCCAATATGATCACATTTTATATGAATATTATCTACTATTTTAAGACTTTATTTAGTCATCAAAGAAATAAGAATATGTTGATTTCAATATAGTAAGAGTACAGCCGGGTGGTGATGATGCATGTCTTTAATCCCAGCACTCAGGATGCAGAGGCAGTTTGATCATTTTGAGTTCGAGATCAGCATGGTCTACAAGAGCTAGTTCCAGGACAGGCTACAAAGCCACAGAGAAACCCTGTCTCGAAAAACAAGAAAAAAAGTATAATACAAATTAATATGATAATATCATAATAAATCTCCAAAAGTACCTGGGGAGGCTTGATGACCAGTAAATATTAAAACAATAGTAATGTCTAGAAGTTTTTCCTGTTTTATTGTATACTAGCCTGGCATATAACAAATATTTACACATGCATTCTAAATTTAAAAAGACACAAATTTGAATAAAGACAAGGGGCTTGATTACAGTTAGGCATGTACTAGGAGAAGCCCTGCAAATAATGAGCTGAAAATGGATGGCATGCTCAGGACATGTGCTATTCATATTCCATAAATGGAGAGACACTGGGGACAGTTGATCCCCCTCTGAAGAAGAGGTAAAGACCTCTAAGGCCCTGGAGGATGAAGGATAAGGCCAAATGAGTAAGTCACTTAGTTGCAGATTATCAAAGTTCTAATAGATGGGAATTAGAAATCAGAAATTGTGAGCATTTTTAAACTGGGTCCCAGGAGACAGTGGAGCCATATTTGTTTTGCAGAGGTTCACTATCCAAATATGATTTTCTTCAACACAGGAAATGTACTACCTCACAATCAATGGTCCTAATGAACCAAACCAATGTACTGACAGACTGACTTCATTCTGAGTACTCTTTGCAAAGCTGCCAGCCTTCTGTTTGGGGTAGAAATGTCTGTGTTTTCCTCATGTTCCTTATCATTGTCCCTCTACATATGTGTCCTGACTTTTGTTTGTGAAAGGCAGCAGGTACTTCAAATTAGGGTTCACCCTAATGACCTCATTTTCCATTGATACAACTTAACCCATTAGAGATGCTGTAAATGGATATAACTCAATATGACAGGAGAAATAGGCTTGTATTAGTATGATACAATTAGAAAGTGGTAGGTTTGAGAGTGATACCAAGCAATCTGCCACTAGTGTACTTAACAAAGTTTTCCAGAAAGGGTGTGAGTAAGGCCATCACTGAAGTCCATTAGAAAGACCAAAGCTAAAGCTGTTGGATTTTTCCCTCTTTTGTTTTCTTTTAGTAAGCATAGCCTTAGTGTCTGTTATATCCTAGATATTCTCCTAGATACTAATGAGACTGTGGCCAGGAAGATCTGGACCATTCTTCCACCTTCTGGTCTTGTGCAAGGGAAGAACAAAGAGTGAGCTACAGGCATGGCAGGGCCCGCACCTTTGCATATTGCAACCCTAGGAAATGAGAGCCACTCTCTGTGTTTTTGCAGAGCTACAGTGTGGTTGTGGGAATGTTGACAGAGTGTGTACTAAGCAGTGTCCTGAAGGTATCATGTGGGTTTCATATCAGACAAATGACAGAAGTACATTCAAATCAACAGGACCACCATAAACAAAAAGGAACTTGGGTGTAGGGGCAGGGGATAGAGCAGGGCCTTGAAGAGTCAGGGAAAGAAAATGGACTGGTGTGTGTTGCATATTTACTTGATAGTTGAGTGAAGAAAATGTGTTTCTTAAACTATGTGATGAATATCAGAAATAGAAGATGTTTCATTGTTAATATACATAACAATGTATTTTATACATTGTATACAGTCTTGAGGCAGCAACAGCAAATAGTGGAATGTAGATGGGGTGAATGAAAGTGAATGAAAGAAAACTGACATGGTAAGGGCCCAGAATTTCTGATCCTTAGTAGAGAAGTTATGCAGGACCAGTGACCTACCGTTACTGGCAGGTAGATAGAGTCTGTTCAGACTTAGTTAAAGAAGTTTCTTTGCCCTTGCTGTATTGTTGACAGTTTGTTTTAACACCACTTGTCATTTTTTAATCTTATTTTGATGCCTGTCTTTGACCATAATCCTAAATTTCTGTAATAGTTTAATGCTTTCTTGTATGTTCATAAACACATAACATCTTTGCTCATGATTTTCCTTTGAGAATACTCTGCTATCTCTCATTCCCTTACATTTTTTCATACAAACACCTCCTTTGTGTAGATATTTATCCCATAGTCAATCTGCACAACAGTGAAGCAATGGCAAGAATACAGGCTAACCATTCTCTCCTGAAGTCACTGTGCATTCTAGAACCTGCCTGGTGCTGTTTCTCAGTCAGCTATTCTCAGAGGCTACTGTGCTGGGATTTCTCTTTGCTGGGTTCTAGGATTGTGCTGACTTCTTTGGGGGTAGGCTGCCTAGACCATGTAAATGCTGAATGTATCTAATTCCACTGGAAGTAGGTTTGCATTCAGGGACTATTCAAAAACCGATTTACAGTAGAGAGGGCAGGCTTAGGACTAAGCAAATAAAAAAAAGTTACAATGAAGAACTAACTGCAAAAAGCTAGGGTAGACAAAGATTCAGAGTCTCCACAAGAATCCTGGAAGATGAATAACAATTTGTCAGACCAGCAATGTAGAGCAAATCACAATTCAGACGGTGCAAGCATGTGTGAGACAGGGGTAAGAGATATCATTTGTCTGACAGTTTTCACATTGGAAAATGAGTTCCCTGCCTTCTGCATCTCTCATTTCCATCATCACTGTCAGAAAGAATAACATTTCTGTTTTTTAAGTTTTATTTACTTTTAGAATATTCTATAGATTCATATCATTTAAAATGTTAAATCTCTAAAAGAGATTTTTTATGTCTTTGCTAAAGTTTATGGTACAAAATAAAAACGTATGAATATGCTAACCCCTTTATCTTTGTAAGTTGTTTTATCTCACAACAGAGGATTAAGATATTAAGATCTTATTGAACTTTCTCGCTCAGCCTCTGGCTTTTTTGTTTTCATTAGTTTTTTTCTCTTTGTTGGCTACATACATTCTAGAGTCTTGTCCTTACTTACACTTCTCCAAATCCTGACTGAAAGCTCCCTTCCTCTAGTTCCCTTTTCTTCCTCTGTTCCCAT